GTACTTGTCCTGGGCTCCTCACTTGGTTTCTTACTCTACCCCGGAGGAAGCGTGGGTATTTTAAATTTTCACCTCTAGTCACAGAACTTTTGTTTGTCTTATCACCTTAACTAGAATGCAAGCAGCCTGAGGACAGAAGCCACTCCCACCCAGCTCAATACAGCCCCTCCCAGGGTGTCCGAGCACGTGCTCTCCCATTCCATGCCTTAACAGTTTACAATCCTGACTTGCCCAGATGTGTTCATTTATATTTTAAATCACAAAAAGGAATAAGCAATCTCCTTTTAAACTGCTGTCCTTGGTTAACACATAGATGACTCTCCAACTGTTGAAGCATTTCCATTCTTGCCAAGGAATATTTCATTAGGGCACTTGCCATCAAGACTGGCCTTCAAATTTCCTGTAAAGGCTGAAACATACCTTTGTAATTAGATTTATGTTTGTTCGGAAGACTGTCCTCACAGTAAAGTACCTAAGATTTTTCTTTTGTATCTATTGCTTCAAATATAAAATGTAGAGAATATGATTTTTTTAAATAATACTAGAAACAAATACAGGAAGTGCTAACTTGAGCATTCAGAAACGGAAAGATGTTCATTGCATATTAAGATTCAAAACAGTTTTCACAGGACAATAACACAGTTATTAACTGGGAATCAGCAATTGAATTGAATATTTTAGAGTAATAATATGCCTTAAATAAAATGTGCATCAACTTGCCCTGGTTAAAAGCTGGCGTGAATGACTATTACTCCCTAAATCACATATGCTGAAATTACTCTGCAATCTAGTCTCCTAGGAAAAGATATGGTGATCTGTAAATGACTAACTTTCTATTATTAGTAGGCTTTTGGCTTCAAGTTACAAATTGCTTCTATGTTTGGCAAGTGTAGCAGATTTTTGAAGCACAAACTATCAGAACTACACAGGTTTCACTTATCACTTTAAAATACCAAATCTCTCTCTCTCTCTCTCTCTCTCTCTCTCTCTCTCTCTCTCTCTTTCATTTTATAATGAAAAGAAAATATTTCTCAGTAAAAAGGAAGAAAGGAACTTAAGACTACCTTTAGGAATCCCTCATTTTAGAAGATTTTCATGACACTTATAGTAAGATTTTGTTAACTTTGGAGTATTTAAAGTAGCCATAAGAGTCAATTGGCACTGTGCCACTGTGGCTGCTGTAATTGGAGAGGACTTAAGACAGGGAAACTCTTCCCTACCTAAAGCAGTGGTTCCCAACCTGTGGTTCATGACTCCCTGGGGGTGGGGGGCAGGGAGTCAAAGGAATCTTTCACAGGGGCCTAAGACTCTCTGCATATCGGATATTTACATTATGACTCATAACAGTAGCAAAATTACAGTTATGAAGTAGCAACAAAAATAATTTTATGGTTGGGGATCACTACAACATGAGGAACTGTATTAAAGGATTGCAGCATTAGGAAGGTTGAGAACCACTGATCTAAAAACTGTGTAGAGCTCTACAAACTACTGTGAAAGCCTCATAGGGAAATACATTGGCAACCAATTGGAAGGGGTCACTGGAGTTCAAGAATTAAATGCATCATAGGATGGCATTAAGCGAGCCCTGCATCCTAGGTCTAACAGAAGACCTGCTTATAGTAGATACACACAAAAAAAGGAAGAGAAATAGAGAAGAAGGAAATAGTAACTGCCTGGGCCCCCAAAAGAGAAATGAATGGTTTCCTTTCCTCATATTCTACTTCCAAGTAGCATTCTCCCCCACATTCAAATTGGCAGTTTTGCTTATGCATGGATCATAAGACTGCTTCAGGGGGAGCAGACCACTTAGAAGATGTGGTTCACACATAGAAAGACCATGCAAGAATTGCCTCTGTCTCCTAAATGTTTGATCCTCTGCTGGAAGGTTAAACACAACAGCCGTACCACCAAAGGGCACAGTTTATAATCTCTCTCTCCACCCATTTTTCCCAAGAGAAATCTCTCTCACATAGGCTTGGAAGAGAATGAAAACTTACATTCAGGGCTCTATAGACTTGGCTTGGCTCTTCTCTCCAGAGATAAGCTGATAACAGTTGGGGGAAAATGAAATATATGAAGAGGCATAAAGTATATTCTCACACCTCAACAAACAATGTCTTTGTAGGGGAGAAAATGTTAAATGACAGTTTAAAAAAAATTTTTAGGAGCTTGTCAGCAAGAGCAAATGAATAGCAAAGACGGTAAAATTACTGGGAAGTATGAACTTCCTGCTGGAAGCATGCTGACCTTGAGTGGCAAGTTTGGTAGAAACAACCTATTCCTAGAATTTAAGCAATGTTCTGTAACTTTGTTAAATTAACTACTATCTCACTTCACAAACAACATAATAAATCTCCAAATAATTCCCTAGGTCTCCTCTTCCATTTGTATAAATCTAAATTTTAAGTAGGGTTTCACAGCTGGATCATTTTGCAGGACAATACTGCTGCAATCAGCTTTCAAACCTTTGTATTTTACAGAAATATCATAGGGTTTTCTTTCACTAAATAAAAAGACAAGTCATTATTTCACTACTGATTTCATTTCAGGTGATTAACTTTAACTTCATAAAAAGCAGTATTTATGAAGTTGCCATTCTTAAGGCACAGGTAATTCAGTGATAATTAATGCCAGGAGCTCCATCTCCTTGGCAACTATGTATATTGTTAATTTCCTCATTCTTTAGGTTTTATTGGGTGACTATTGTATGCAAGGCATTCTGCTATATGTACAGAAACTGTGAACTATGTAGTTGTAAGACTTGAAAACATCTGAAGTGATATTTGCATGGGCTTCCCACTGTAAGCTGTTCATACACATTCGTTTTATTTGCTAGCTCTTGAAAGGCTTGTGCCTTTTCTCTCTTAAAAGTGGGGAGGTGGCAAGTTTGGCCCTTGGGCACCTAATCTAAACTCTCCATTGGTGGTCTTGTGACTCTTGGAGCTTGAGACAGGGATGTATAACCCAGCATTCCTAGGAGCCCACCCATCCCCCTCCTTATCCAAATAGTCTCATTCCTAAATCCGCCAGGAAGCCTGGCTCAGCTCAGAACCTGGCTTGGTTTGCAAGCTGTGAGAACCTCAGCACGGGATGCCAGATCCACCGAGACTAGGAGCTGAGGCCAGCCAGCGTCCTGGGAAACAAAAAGATCTGCCTGTCCAGACACTAGAGCCAAGATGTGATAGCTGAGAGAGATCTTGCACATTATCCAGCTCAGCGGCTGCCCTCTTTTTAAAGACGATGAAAATGAGACCCAGGGAGGTCGAGATTTGCACACAGAAATCCCTGGTAACCAGGAGCTAAGATCTAAACACAGCTTTGTATCAAAGACTGTATCTGACCCACTGCTCCACTCCACGACTAAATAATTCTTATCGAGCAGAAGTCCAAACAGAGCTGGTGGGAGAGAGAGTGCTGGTCCTAATTACTGGTACCACACCAGCTGTCCTGCCCACTAGGCATAACAATTACCATGATATGCCTGAGAACGGGAGCCTAATAAAATACTAGGCTATGTAATAATTCTGATAGAAACTAGTAATAAGCCACTAGCATTCCACCAGCACTTTCTCTATAGTATCAAGTCTATGTATGCGATCTCAACAACAACAACGAAAACCAAAATGCCCTTGGCGCAGCTCAAGGAAGAGCCTGACTCTCCAGGGGGAAACTAGATCCATCCTTCTCACTGCAGCAGTCTGAGCATCTGGCACCGACCGTGAGAGGCGCCGGTGCGAGACTTGCCTCTAGTCTTTGTGCTGGGGGCTGCCTCTGGAGACCTTGTGACTCTGGCCCCTTCCTCCCGCTGTCTAATCCCCCAGGTCCCTCAGAGGTTCCAGCCCAGGGTGTGGGAAGCTCGCTGAAGCTCCATGAGGCCACTCCCAGCTCAGCGCGGCTCCACCTCGGGCCACCCCGCCTGACAGCAACCCTGCGTGTTGGCGCTTGTGCGCTCCTCCTTGCCAGTTTCGCCCGAATCTGTCTGGCTGCACAGTTCCCCACGCGCCTTTCCCCTCCCTTCCCGGTAGCTTCGGCTCCTCCGGAGAAGGTATGCTCTTAACCAGCACGCGTTCTCCCGGGGCGCCTCTGGCCCAGCTTGCTAGGGCTTGGGTACCAGGGGGTGCTCAGTGCCGTCCACCTGTCTCTGCCCCGAACTCAGCCGGGGGCACCGGCCTTTCCACCCGCGGAGATCTGTTCTCCCCCACTACCTTGCCACGTAGGTGGGTGGGCGCATGGGAAGGCAATCACCCGGCCTTGAACCCTAGACCTTTGGGCAGAACCCACCACGGCGCCAATAATTCAAGTAGACAGGAAGGTCAAAGGCGAACGGGGCTGCCTGCGGCCCTGCAGGCTGGCGAGGCCGAAGCCGTGGGGGTAGGGAGTGGCATGTTCGGAGCGCTGGCACGGAGTGATCCCCAGGCGGGCGCAGGAGCGGCTCTGCGCCGGTGGCACGGAGGCTGCGGGGGCGGAGGCCCCGCGGTGGCGGCTGCCCCGCGCCACCAGCGCATTCCTGGCAGTAGGCGTCACGGGCGCCGGCTGCGGCCGTTCACCCTTCTCCCCCACCAGCGCGGAACCCGCACGTAAGCGGGTGGCTTCGGGGAATCTTCTCCCAGCTCAGCCTGCGCGCCTGCCCCGCGACCAGATGGCTGGTGACACCCACGAGGGACTTCCTCTGCGAGCGGGAAGGCTCCACGCTGCTCTGCATGCTCCAGCACCCGGCCACCCTGGCGGCCTGCTCCAGTACGGCCCCCAAGGACGGACAACACAAGGCCACGCGGCCACAGGAGGCTGCTCCAGCAGCGTCACTCCCGGACACATAGCGTTCCCCGGTCCCTACGACCACAGTCACCCCCATCGCCACCCCTGCTCAGAAAGGATAGCATTTTCCTGCGGCTCGGGCCCTGGAAGTCCCTCTAGGGGCCACGTTAGCGTACAGGGCACCAGATCCTGAGCTCCGCGGCGTACCGGCCCAGAGAACCACGCGGTGTGCCGAGTCTTACCTGAAGTGTCCCACAGGCTCAACTCTATTCTTTGTGTGTCGATTTCAAAACTAGCCGTGTAATTCTCAAACACCGTAGGGACGTAATTCTGGACAAACGAAAGGGACAGAAGAGGAAGGAAAGGTGGCAAAGAGGTTATTAAAAGCACGACATGCATCGAACACTTTATGGAAAATACCCCAAGTGCCCAATTAAAAAAAAAAAAAAGCACACCCCCTACACACTAACACGCAGCCCCTTCCCGAGAGCCCACCCAGGTTTCCCCGCCCGGCTCCCCACACTGAAACCAGCAAGTTTTGGGGGCCGAGAGCCCGGGGTGCTGGCACGTCCCAGCCCAGGGGCTTCCCGGACACTTTCCCTTCCGAGCAGTGTGGCGGGGGGGATACCGGCTCAGCATGAGGAGGAGGACTTTGAAGAGGAAAATCACAGCGAGAGAGCGGACACTCTCTTCCAGACTAGGGACCCCACCGGCCGCTCCCCTCAAAGCCTCGCGGGTCACACTCACTTCGGGGAAGCAGTCCTTTGCGAAGACGTGAAGCAGCGCTGTTTTCCCACACTGGCTGTCGCCCACTACTACTATCTTGCATTTCACGTTCTGATTAGGATCCATGATAGATTTACTGGATAATTTCTGGCTGGCTCTTCTCTCCTTCATTGATGTTGCCTTATTTTCTCTTGGAACAGGAATTTTCTCTTTAGAAGAAAAAAATATATATACTTCTCTCTATAAAAAGCAGATAAAAAAATAAATCGCAAGGCCGGTGGGAACCCCTTAAGCGCAGCGCAATGGAGGAGAGGCAGCGGCTCTTAACTCCCCTCCAACAAGTTTTCTGCCTGACTCTGCGTCTCTCCTCCCAAGTCCAATTCCAATCGGTCTGCTTTGTTTCACGCTCTCTGCGCGGCTTTATACGCCCAGCCTTCCAATCCCCTCTGCTTTCTCAATGAGAGAAGGAAACTGATCCGCCTCCTCCCCTTTTATGGAGCCTGGGAGCCAGCGCGGCCGCCTAGTTGGCGGAAAGTGTAGGCAGTGCGCCCTCTAGGGTAGTGTGCAGGATGGCTCGCAGACCCAGTTTCTGGCGTAACCAGAAGGCGCCAGGCAGGATTTGCTGGTGGGCAAACGGATAAGGACCAGGGTGAGGAGGAAGCAGATAGCTGTGTGCATGGACTCGCACTGGAATTCCTTGCAAATTGCTTTCCAAGGGGGCGCGTCTCCAGAAGCCCCGTGATCATCTGTAAAAATAAAAACATATTTCCCACTCAAGGTAAAGCCTAATCATGAAACAGAAGTCAATCTTGAATGGGAAAAGACTAAGTGGTTATACCCAAACTTAAAGATTGTGTTAGGCACACATAGATGGTGGGACATTTCCTAAACCGGCTTATCTCAAACACCACGACTGGTTTTCCTAGATCTTTATAGAGGGCTTGGCTATTCAAACTTGTCAGTTTCAGCCATTCCAGAGGCAGAAGGCTTTGGGGAGTGGATAAAGCCAAGGGGGTGGGGTGGGAGCTGACAAAAACTAGGAGAGGCTCAGCCCCACCTGCCACTCTCGCTTTGTGAACACTAGAACCGGGGGTCTAAGTGCTCCTCAATCCTTTGGCTGTAACCTCCGGTCTCCTAGAATCAAGGTGCTCTGCACTGGACTCAGACAACACACATGTCCATAGTTGAAAACTCAGGGACCCCCGCCCCCTCCATCCATAACTCAACCATTCCAAGTCTCCCTCGAAGCAAATCTTAGAAAGGACAAAAATGAGAGCACGTTCGTTCTCTCGTTTTCCTGAAGACAGCGCCTTCATTGCCTGGAACCCCAACAGCCAGGAGACTTCGGTTATGAAATTTGTGGTGGAGACGTCTGGGAACATAGTTCAGTCTGTAAAGTGCGTGTTCTGTAAGCATGACTTGGGTCTTGTCCCCCAGCACTGGTTTAAGGAACCGTGTGCGTGGAGGCACTCCTGTAACCCCAAAACTGAGGAGGCAGACTTAGAGGACCCCTGGAGCTTGCTGGCCAAACAATCCAAGCAAATTGGGGAACTCAAGATCCAGTGAGAGAGCATGACTCCAAAATAATGTAAGGAGCAATTGAGGAAGATACCTAGTGTCAACCTCTGGGTTCTACACATATAAACACATACACACACACACACACACACACACACACACACACACACACACACACGCACGCATGTACGCACGCACGCGCGCACACACACGCACACGCGCGCACACACGTATACAGACACATGCACCTCACACATAACTCTATGGAAACTTTCAGGCTTGTAATAAAAGTTGAGGATTAAAACGAAAAGTGTGGTGACTGAGTAAGTAGTGAATTACTAGGATTATGAATTCAGGGGCCCCAGAATGCTGTCTTATTTCTTTCAGAGCTGAGTCTTTTGGATCTTTCCCCTAAAGGACAGTTCTGATTCTATTGTTGTGGATAGGTCTGTTCATACAGGCTGACCATGGACAAAGGAAGGCTTGCCAAAGTTTGTATGGCCGCATTTGCCAAAATTTGCTTGGAAGAGCTTTATTCCCTTCTTAACATAGCTCACAAAGGAGTACTTTGCTGTTATGGAGGCGAAACTCTTATGTGAATTTAATGTAGTTGAACTTATATTAAACCTTAATAGAGTTGAACATAGAGCCAGGCAGTGGTGCTGCCTACCTGTAATCCCAGCCCTCTTTAATCCCAGCACTCAGGAGGCAGAGGCAGGCAGATCTCTGTGAGTTTGAGACCAGTCTGGTCTATAGAGCGAGTTCCAGGACAGGCTCGAAAGCTATACACAGAAACCCTGTCTCCAAAAACAACAGCAACAACAAAAATAGTAAATAATATAAACAGTATAGTTGAATGTAGCATTTGCCTAACCTAACTAAATGCAGGAAATGTCCATCAAATTATTTGTTTGATGGAGAAGCCATGGGCACTATAGTGGGAGCATGCAATCGGAAAGAGGGGCATTAAAGCCCTGGGCTTCGTGTCTTCTGGCTAAGTGACATTGGAGCAATTATTTCACCTCTGTAAGCTTCAACATCATCCTCTTTAAAATAGGATTCATGATGGCATTTGTAAGGAAATGCAAATGAAGTTTGGAGAAGAGTCTATGGCACAATAGCAGCCCTGCCCTTACTTGGTGCTTCTCTATAGTATCCACTGGCTCCCACATCCCTCCCAGATCCAAGACACATGTTCTGGATTCATTAGTCAATTTATGGATAGAAGGTGGGCACATCCTTTCTTGTCTCCTGTTTTTAACCATGACACTTTCCCTCTTCAGAGATACAACTTGACCTTCTATGTTCATGAATTGATATGGTTTATATAGTTAACGTCCTTTTAACTCGAATTAATTACTACTTATTTTGAATTGACTTAATAAACTGGACATCAGATAATTTATCAACTAAGCTGTATCTGAGACCAAAATGAGACACCACCAATGATATAGCAGGCCTCCAGGTATAAAGAACTTTACTCCACCAAATAGTAGTATTGTCACTTCCCCCAGGGAATAATCTAGAATCATAGTGCATAGCTATTTTTGGAAATCAGGTGACCTGAATCTCCAGAAATCTGCCAGCTGCTGAGTGAAATTTAATGGATGGAGTAGAAAATCAACTCCCTGAAGCCACCAGATTTGGATATTTCTAGGAAATAAATTACTTCTTTTTGTCTTTTGAATGTATTTTTAACACCCAAACACTTAGTTTAGCAAGTATTTATTTTAAGTGTCTGCTGTCTGCCAGGCACTGTTCTAGGAGTTCCAAATGGGGCAGTACAGAGGCCAGTTTCTCTCTGCTCCCACAGAACACACACTTCAGGCAGTCCTCCATAAAACATAAGGCAGAGTACACAAGGCAGAGCAGATGTGTTCAACTCCGTGAAGAAAACCAGGATCCTCTGAGAAGCCAGAGTCGAGTGGGGATTTCTCAGTGTGTCTGTATGGAGATGGATCCCTTGAGGAGGAAGAGTGAACTGTGAGTAGGTCTTACAAAAGGCTGCTCCAAGCAGGAACACAGCAGAAAGGTCATAAGGAGGGCAGGTTTGGCAGGTTTGAGGAACAGAAGGAGGGCCAGATTGAGACCCACTGAAGGAAAACCTTCAGGAGTAGGAGATCCCAGGAAGGGTCTGGGCTGAGTATCTGGTCTTAGAATCTGGATATTTGGGGAAGGGCCGTATGAAACCAGTCACAGGAGTACTTGAAGCAGGGTCACAGCATGAATACACAAACAAACAAGCAAATGGATGATTGTGGCTCTGGGTCTGCACCTGTCACTAGGTATCCTGGATGAAACCTCTGCTTCACTGTGCACACTGGATACAAACACACCTCAAGCCCTAGGAAACACGAAGATGCTAGAATGCAGTGAAATCTTTTCCCTAAGATGCAGAATCATCTGGAAGCTATGAAGCCCATCTAGGGGATCACCTCTGACCTACTGGCCTGTCTCGTTCCGTTCTCCTGTTAATGTTTCTTTGTCTACAGATAACTCTTTCTTACCTTGTTAGACCATGAAGATCAAGAGAAAATAAACAGCAAAAATTTCTACATGGTTCCCTTCATTGCACATATTCAGTTGCTCCAAATGGTTTGAGCCAAAACTTTCTTTCTCTTGTGGTTAACCCTGTAACCTTTAATACTGGGAAGGGGGGGGGGTCTTCCTTCCATAGTGAATGCATTCCTTTTAACAACAACAGATGAGTTTACGCCAGGAGAGAGGACTGAGTCCATATCTAAGAAAAGTACAAATAAACAATGGTTCTGTGTTCTTTCTATCAGGAACATTCATTTTAGTTCTGACCAACCCAACATGCACACTGTTCAACCTCAGACAATCTCTGAGCTCTTTTCCTCACGTACATGATAGGAGTCATCACTGTGTGACTCCTTTACATTGCACAATAAGGTTGTTTAGAAAATCACTGTAGAACATTCCTCTTTAGACACACACTACAGATCACCCTGGCTCCGTATTCCAAGTTCACTGTGTTCACAGATACCTCATCCAGATATGCCCACAGTGTGATAAATCATAATTCGAATTGTCTGTACGGATTGCCTGTCCAACTTCGGATGTCAGTAGGCATGTTGAAAAACTAAATGCCCAGTGAGGAAAAAGCACAGGTCACCTACAGGTGTGACACAGGAGTGGAGAGAAACTGGACATCGAAATAAGAAAAGGAACAGCCTGCCCTTGAAGACATGATGTCAGAAAATAGGGGCATGACTCATAGGCACGCTCTCTGAGAATTTAACAAGATGATGGATAGTAAATAGCTTTCAAGCCATGGAGAATTAGGGCAACAGTATAAACACCAACTTTCCTGTACTGAGAAGTGTTGATTTCACTGCTGTCTCTTGGGGAGTAATCATCAGAAGACACTCACTGGACTAGCCTTACACATTAACTACATAGGAACATTTTGGTTTGGGCTTTTTTTTTTTTTCCTGGAAAAAGAATTGGAGAAAGAAAGTTCATGGCATTCATTACGCCTGCTATTTGGGAAGAATTTGTTCTCATCAATAGCAATCTTTTTATTCATTTTTTTTCTTGCTTGGTTAACCTAAGTGACCTGCCCAAAGACACTGGTCAGTTTTTCCAGGCTGTGTGAAAGGAATACTCCAGTATGGTTGAAGTAACTGGTCTTGTTTGTCCTCATTGATACTAATACAATTTACTGCTCCCTTGTGGATTTAGGCCTCTCTGTGGCCAGCAGAAAACTCTGCCCTGTGAATGCTGAATAATAAGCCATTGGCCAACTGATCCCCCTTTTCTCTGTTCATCACAAATTTGAGAAAGAACTGTTGCCATCTATAGAGACTGACTTCTTGTACATTTGGGTCTGTGGATCTTAGGGCACATACACTCCTTTCCAACTGCCTCTCCCTAATTTTAGA